TCGCGAGGGGTGGAGTAACGTCGTCTAGGCTCTCTCTCGCTCTGGCATCGTGACAACAGTGCCAGACGCTTGGCACTAGGTTTACTTGTTGAGCCGCCTTTCCTCACCTGAGTGAGGGTTTACGTACTTATTTAATCCCGCGGTTGGCTAGTGTTTGGTGCTTTGTTTTATAATAAAATACATACTGTATGTATGGTAGCAGTAGTGAGATAAACTAGTCACCTCAAGTGCCGGTAATGTATGTGTCTTATGGGTGTATTCTGACAACTAAGATCATTTATGCTAACCCGGGTGGAAAATGTACAAACTCCCCCATTAAATTTAATCGATCAATAATAGAATTAACAGATAATTTCTTCTTGGGGTAATATAATATACAAGGTGTTGTCTTATAGACGCTGTCACAACCATCAAAATTATTACACAGTATGTGACATACATTTGAAAACGAAATGTTAATGAAGTGAAATTTGAATCAGAAACATGAACAATATTTGTACAAGTTTTTTCTATGAACAATGGTTGTACAAGTTACTCCCGTGAACAATAGTTGTACAAGTTACTTCGTGAACAATACTTGTGTAAGCTTCTCCTGTGAATTTAGAATTCTCAGAAATCTGTGCCATATTATCAGTGTGATCAGCAGTGGAGATAAATTACATTTTCGCAAGACTGTGAGTAGCCTCAAGCCGTGATGATGTCGTTACAATATGGACGACGATACTTCGAAATTGAGCGACTGTGGAAGGTGAGCTACTTTATGTCCGTTTAGGCTGCGATACTTAGGGTTAATGTTGAGCACTTCAGTTAACATAGGGTGTACCACTTATCTGTAAAGTGATGCACGGTGTCACTGTTGTGGGACAATATATAGGGTGTACCACTTATCTGTAAAGTGATGCACGGTGTCACTGTTATGGGACACTATATAGGGTGTACCACTTATCTGTAAAGTGATGCAGGTGTCACTGTTATGGGACAATATATAGGGTGAACCACTTATCTGTAAAGTGATGCACGGTGTCACTGTTATGGGACAATATATAGGGTGTACCACTTATCTGTAAAGTGATGCACAGTGTCACTTATGGGACAATATATAGGGTGTACCACTTATCTGTAAAGTGATGCACGGTGTCACTGTTATGGGACAATATATAGGGTGTAAATTACTTATCTGTAAAAGTGATGCACGGTGTCACTGTTATGGGACACTATATAGGGTGTGTACCACTTCATTCGTAAAGTGATGCATATGTCACTGTTATGGGACAATATAGGGTGAACCACTTATCTGTAAAGTGATGCAGGTGTCACTGTTATGGGACAATATATAGGGTGTACCACTTATCTGTGAAGAGTGATGCACGGTGTCACTGTTATGGGACTATATATAGGGTGTACCACTTATCTGTAAAGAGTGATGCACGGTGTCACTGTTATGGGACAATATATAGGGTGTACCACTTATCTGTGAAGAGTGATGCACGGTGTCACTGTTATGGGACTATATATAGGGTGTACCACTTATCTGTAAAGAGTGATGCACGGTGTGTCACTGTTATGGGACAATATATAGGTACCACTTATCTGTAAAGAGTGATGCACGGTGTCACTGTTATGAGACAATATATAGGGTGTACCACTTATCTGTGAAGAGTGATGCACGGTGTCACTGTTATGGGACTATATATAGGGTGTACCACTTATCTGTAAAGAGTGATGCACGGTGTCACTGTTATGGGACAATATATAGGGTGAACCACTTATCTGTGAAGAGTGATGCACGGTGTCACTGTTATGGGACAATATATAGGGTGAACCACTTATCTGTGAAGAGTGATGCACGGTGTCACTGTTATGGGACAATATATAGGGTAAACCACTTATCTGTAAAGTGATGCACGGTGTCACTGTTATGGGACAATATATAGGGTGAACCACTTATCTGTGAGCTACAGCGGAAGTACACTTGCTTCTCAATATTGTGTCCCAGGTTCGGATGTGAGAAGGGTATTATTATTCGTCTGTCCCTGCCAAACATATCAGGTTTTCTCCTGGTACTCCGGTTTCCACCTGTACGAACACAGGCCAATGAAGCGTAAACTGAGCAGGAACAATGGAGAGACTAAACAAGACACCGACTTCCTATCCCAGTCAGAACAGTAATTTAAAGGTTATCGAGGATGAGCCACAAACCACTTACGGCGTTACACATATTGGACTCCACATCACTTCGGTAAGACATTAAGCCTCAGCATGTGTAGTGGTATCTGTATTGTAACCCTTGATAACTAAGGCGATTGTTTTCACCATTGTATCTGCCTGTTTTATAAATCTCCTTGGGTTGCAAAAATTTACCAATAGTTAGTGTTGTTTTAATCTCTTGCAAGGTTTGAGCTCTCTGTACAAACTTTTTTATTTTGTGACATAGAGAAACATTAAAAATAACCCTCTTGTCTTTTACTAGTTTTGTGGTGACGTTCTGCGAGCCGAGAATTAAAATAAAGTGATCATGTTCAACAAATAATGAATACTGATCAGATAGTATTGACTCTAGACTGTCCTCCCACTTTGAGCAGGTCATACTGAGGAGCACCGACTCGTGATGACCAACAAGTTTAGGAAAAACATCGATAGAAAAAACCTTTCTTACCTGTAGAATGAAATACGGTGAAGGAATTACAACTTTCAAACTTTTGTTTTCCCTATTTTTTATTAAGAGCAAACCTTTCTATAGCTTACTTAACCAAATATACATAACGCTATGGCGTTCCACCTTGCAAGGATGCATGGGGATGCCCAATAAACTAGCCCTCGCTCGGGCCAAATCTGAATCTGACCTTCACCGCGAGGACGCCACTTTTGACGTTTTATTTGTCTAACGCCAGACGATTTTATTCAGCACAAGGGGTTAATTAATCTAACGAAAATTAGCATACTAAACCTAACCTGGAATAATATACTTTCATTCTATGGTAGGTAAGCTTGATTGGTTCATCTTATCTACTACACATTACCAGTATGTTGTGTAAGCAAGCCAACATGGCATCGCCGGGAGCAGCGAGTCAACTTAGATTCGTGTTTAGGGTAAAACAATTTAATTCCTTGTTTTTAGGATGTTCTAGAGGTAACAACGACTTTTTCCCTATAGGAAGTTTTCCTCAAGATGCTGGTTATCATGATTCGGTGTTTCTGATTATTAATCTTTCATCATCCCAGTGTTACACACATAATAATGGCCGGCCATCCTCGTGTAACGAGGATGGCCGGCCCAAGGGCCACTCAGGCGTGAATTTGTTTAAGGTGTAGAAGCTGTCGCCAACACAATAACCACCTAAGTTAAAAAGTTGCATGACCCCGTGTCAAGGAATAGTCCGAGAAGACCGGACAACTCGCCAACTGCGCTGGCGAACCACTATCCCGGAACACGATCCGCAAATCGATTAACATCCAGGTTCCCAATTACTGCTGGGTAGACAGAGGCAAATGGCGTAAAAAAACTTGCCCATAGTTTCACCCTGCCCGGACATACATGCATACATACATCCTTGACAACCGAAGGGTGAAGACGTACCTGGCGCTCCTCTCGGAGCAGCCAGGTCAACTGTTAAGTTGGCCCATACCAACCCCCTCCCCTGAACCCTCCTCCCCACAGGAAGATCAACAAGTTCTCGCCAGAAGTTACAATTTCATTTAGGAAAGGAACGGAACCAGTGTTAAACAGAGGTGAACAGTGGTGAACAGTGCTTAAGTCAGTGAGAACAACTCAACAGTAACAGTCGTACCCAAGTTAACCTTCACACAGTGAGGTCCCAGGTACCCAGTGATAACGGCCCGTGAGACCCAACAACAACCAGCGATGTGTTAATCCGTCTACGATAGGAAGGCCTAAGACCAAACCTCACTCATATAACACCATCTGTGAGGGAATTACTACACCACATGTCCCTCATAACACCATATGTGAGGGAATTACTACACCACGTCAAGTCCCTCATCACACCATCTGTGAGGGAATTACTACACCACGTGAGGTCCCTCATAACACCATCTGTGAGGGAATTACTACACCACGTCAGGCCCCTCATAACACCATCTGTGAGGGAATTACTACACCACGTGATGCCCCTCATAACACCATCTGTGAGGGAGTTACTACACCACGTGAGGCCCCTCATAACACCATCTGTGAGGTAATTACTACACCACGTGAGGTCCCTCATAACACCATCTGTGAGGTAATTACTACACCACGTGAGGTCCCTCATAACACCATCTGTGAGGGAATTACTACACGTGAGGCCCCTCATAACACCATCTGCGAGGGAATTACTACACCACGCCAGGTCCCTCATAACACCATCTGAGGGAACTACTACACCACGTGAGTTCCTCCTAACACCATCTGGGAGGGAGTTACTACACTACGAGTTTGCTGTTCAACACCTACATTAATCTGTATGTTCACTGTATGTTTTTACCTCTTCTCTAAAGTAAGGCTTTTTTCTCTAAAGAAGGCTTTTGTTAAACCACCAATGTATGTAATAAGTCATTTATGTCCAATGTATATTTTCAGCCTTCGGGCTGCAGAATGTTTTCAATAAACCGTTAATTATTATTATTATTTATCATTATTATTATTACATACATACATACATACATACATGGCCTATTTTTTGCCATATGTCTTATCAATCGTTATCATCGAGTCCCCTAACTTCTATATCTGGCCGTGCTGTGTGTAACGGGCCCTCACACACCCTCGACACAGCTGTACGTTTAGGTTACCTGTTTATTCTTTTATTTTTAATTTTGGGCAATTGATTTGTTTTCCTTTTTCTTAATAACTGGATGTACTGTGGGTATGATCAGCCATCCCTCGTCGTCTGTCAACTTTTAACTTTTCACATTTACGACGTCCAAAAACTTCTGGTTCAATATTGCTGACATTTCCCAAAATTGTCACTCCGATGCTCCCTTTTCAAACAGGGATCAATCTTTTTAACAAGTACACATTCCTTCCGCTAGTGAAGCTGTATTACCATATAAGGGAGCACATTAAACATAGTTTCTTACTTTGTTTTTGAAGTTGAATGTGATGGATTGTACGCCCACCCTTAACGCAACCTTGGGATAGTTTTTGAAAGATTTTCTCGCTGTACCGAAAAGTCCAAATTTACAGTTTGCTTCATCAGCACTTCTCCCTAACAAGCTAGCAAGCCAATGGGACCCACTCTCACATATATTCTTTCCTACTAGCTACCTTCTGGTTTAATTCATCACACACACACACACACACATATATATATATATATATATATATATATATATATATATATATATATATATATATATATATATATATATATATATATATATATATATATATATATATATATATATATATATATATATAAAGGTTTGATCGCAGCTGTGGTGATGCGGTCTAAGCACTAAAATGCAAGACCATTGTTTTAAATGGAGTTTACATTTTTAAACATTAAGTGCATATTTTTGTTTTTTAAAATTAAACATTAAGCTAAACCAACTTAACCTAACCTGATTCAACCTAACCCAATCCAACGCAATGTAACCTAACCTAGCCTAACCTAATCTAAACTAACCAAACCTAACATTAACTAACCTAAATGTGTTAATTCATTATATTTTTTTATCATTGTCCCGTGGAGACTACTGCTCGTTTGGTAATTGAATTTTCAACAATTAACGTAGTTGTCAAGGTAA